GGTCAACGGAGGGGACAGAGTCTGAAGTGGGATCGATGAAGAAAGAGAGGAAAAAAACAATCAATACGAATCCTATAGAAGCGACAAGCCAGTCACTCTTAGCCCATTTTCTACACCGTAACAGAGAGCTAAACCTTGGAATCGCCATTGAAGAAGAACAATCAAAGGAGAGACACTACACTGTTTCAAAATCTATATATATAATGAGAGAGTTTTCTCTCCATCTAGCCTATCCACCTAAGCATCCACCTAAACAACACTATTTATTGTACATTAAAATAAATTTTAAACATTCATTTAGTGCATATTTATGTTACTTATAATTAATATAAAAAATAAAAATAAACAAAAACCGAATTATGTAAAAAAAAAGAAATGTTAATATAATAAGAAAATAATACAATTAAAATTTTATTAGTAGTAATAATATAATTCAACTTTTAACAGATAAAAATTAAAAATGATCATACTTCAAATTTCTAAATGTGTAATCTTTTAATTTAAAAGCATGGTAGAATAAAAGTATAAAACTAAATTTATGCAATTCTATATATAAGATTTTAAACAAGAAGATTTAATTTATAGTAAAGCATTAGTTTCTAAGAACGATATACTACATATTTTTATTTATTATTAAATTTTTACTTAAAAATAAAAAACTTATTGAATTCAACTTAAATTTATAATTTAAGCCGGAGATATTGTATTCACATTTTATCTTGTAAAATTATAAAAACAAATCTTATAAATTTTAAAACATTATCATTCATCTTTTAAAAAATAAATAATCAATTTTTAAAATTTTTGTTTGAAATTATCAATTATTGATAAAAGAGTTTATCGAAAGGTTAGATCGCTATCATTTAATCTCTCCTAAATCACTTATATAAACACAGACTCTTAAAAACCTCCTATTGTTTAATGGATACAGAATGGGAATAAAAACTGAAGAGCCTATTGCACGTGCTGATACGGGGGCTGGAATACGAAAGAAAGAATTGGTGTCCATTCATCAGCTCCATGAATTCATATCTAAAACTGATGAACAGGTACTGCCAATATTTTCTCCATGTTTAGCTTCCAAAAGTAACATATAGCATCATGGCAGAAAGGCTGTATAGCCTATAGTTATGTAGGAATAATTAAATGCATAAGTATTGACCATTGGTTCCTGCATAACAAACACACTTTTATCATTCACGTTATATTGAGAAACATCCAGAAATTGGAATCTATGTCATTATTTCCAGAAATTGAAAATTCACTATAATGTTTCCTCTCCAATCTATCAAAAGACACAGGATGCAGATTTTCTCTGCAATGCAAAGGTGTTAAACGTACTACAAAAGAATGGGTGGTCTTATGTGTCATGTACTGGGTGTAACCGAAAATTGGACAAGGTTGGCAATGCTTTACGCTGCAGCAAATGTGTTTCATCAAGTGTCACTGGAGTTGTCAAGTACCGAGTTGAGCTTGCTGTTCATGATGGTCATGACGAGGCAACATTTGTGGTCTTTGACAATGAAATGACAAAGCTTACCACCAAAACTGCAGCTACCCTCATCCTCGAGAACGTAAGTTATTAAACTATCTTATGCATCTGGTTTCCAGCAATTCAAGTTCATTGTTATACATTAATTGTAGGGAAATGGAGGAACAAGAGACGATATACCAAGCTGTATTGAAGATTTAACTGGCAAGCAATTCCTTTTCCAAATAAAAGTGACCCCATTCAACTTTAGTTCCAAACACCGAACTTTCACAGTTTCAAAACTCAGTGAAGCTTACACAAATTGTACACAAGTATAGATATAACAGAAAACTATTTTTATCTGAAAATTATTTCAAATCTTTCATCAAGAATACATCTTTCCTATCAGACTGAAATTACTAAAGGAGGACCCACATTCAACTTGGATTTGGAAGGTACAACAAGTTCCAACATAGCTCGGTTTGGTCAGGACACACTTGACAAAGAATATGAAAAAGTAACAACTTCCATCGTAGAGACGGTTGAAAAGAGTCGAAAACGTGGTCGTGAGTAATGCTTTGCTAGCCAACAATCCGTCATCCCAAATATTTCATTTTTCCTGCTATTTGCTTTTTAAATGTTTGCGTGAGTAGTAGTACTCTATATTTCCATTTCCTCCAATGTTCTCTTAGAAGAACACAGTTATGTTTTATTCCAGAATAAAGGGATTGTGACGGTTTATTAAAATAATTGATGCCCCCAAAATAAAATAAAACAAAAATCAGACAATTAAGATATGACCTTAAAAAAATTTAATTCAAATCTTGAATTAGCAAATTTGTGTGAAAACTTTTTAGCTAATAAATACATGGTCAGCATATAAAATTTGTGTTTAATTAGTTTCTATATTTACATATTGTACATTTTATTGTCCAAAACATTGATTATCAATTACCAGGAAAAATAAATTTAATTAATACATATAAATAAATAAATATTATTTATGTTTGAGTCAACCTTTACGATGATGATTAAATACCATTTACAATAAGTTAATTGATGTAACCATCACAGTATATCTATTTAAAACAATTTTATAATTTATTTGTGATTTTCGGCATACGTTGCAAAACCATATGTTATTAGAGAGTCATCTATTTATTTGAGGCTATCTATGTACTATTGATATGCAAAGAACAATTTGGTATAAGAATCACACGTAAATAATTTCATTTACCCAATATTAATAAAATAATCATATAATAAATGGAAAGTTAATTACAAACTATTGAATAATATCACAAAGTTATTTAGCAACTTTAAGAGTATTAACATTTAAGACTGTGATAGTGGAGAACATGGGCATAAAATAAATAAAAACACTTATTGTAAACAGTATTTTATCAAAATTGTAACTGTTGCATTAAACAGAATTAATGTTTAGTTATTGATTAGAATATATTAATTTAATTTTATATGTTTATTGATAATCTATATTTTTATCAAATATAAATAGTTTTAAAATCAAATACGTTAATTTCTATTAATATATTTATATTACACAAAAATTAATTGAATATATATGATTAAAACTATTCACCTATATATATTTATTGATCACATTATTCATGAATTCTACAACAAAATATACAAAAAATGATATGTAAGTTGTTAAAAAAAAGGTGATATATAATTTGTGTAGCATATTCTCATGTGGAACTTTAACTTTATAACATGATAAGAAAAAATTTGATATTTCTATCAATTGAATCCAATGCTTTTAACCCAAAAAACTGAGTATTGAAAGATATGAATTAAGGAGAAAATAGTTATGATATGTCTTGAAATTAATTTACAGTCCAATATATATTATATATGAGTCAATAGAAAGTGAAAAGAAAGTTGATGTCAGAAGGCAACGAGTTTATCATAGAAGATGACGAAAGAATTGATAGATAAAAGTGTGTGAAAATAAATTTCTAAAACTTAGAAAGATAATGCACATGACTAAAGTAAAATCTTTGAGATCTCATTCATTGTGTGAAACGAATGGGTTCTTAGAAAAATACATGACATATATTATTAAACAGATTATTAGATTCAAACTTGGGTTTAACCGTTTAGTCATGTAAATCATGGAAAGTGAGATAAGATAGACACAATGATGACTTACTCGAGAATTCTCTTATGACACACTGCATTTATGACACGTTGCATTTGCTTCGATGGGTAAAACAAGTTCGCTAAAGCTGTTCTAGCAAGATGGTATTATATATGTATATTTACATTAAATAATGTTCATGAAACTGGATATATTCGCATTTTATATGGAATGATGTTATGTTCGTATCAATATTTAATCATAAATAATATATACAATTGAGTCAACAATCAATAATTAACTTCAACACTTAAAAAAAATGTTTTCATGGAATATGAATAAGAAAGAAAATCTTTTAGAGATAAGATAAAAGGATCATTTGAAGGTCGTCGATATCGTTTATTTTTCTCGCGAATTTTTTAAGTAATATTTGTTACCACGTGATATATATCAAACTATTTATTTGTCAAGGAAACATTATCGTCGATAATATATATGTTGTATATCGCTTATTATATTTATGTTCAAATATTTATCTTTTAAATTTTAATGATTATATTTTATGATGAAAATTTGATATTAATAGAAGAGATTTTAAACTAAAATCCCGCGCAACGCGCGGGGTACAAAATCTAGTATGTTAAATTACATCAGTGGGACACATGATTGAGACAGCCCAACCGAATGACTAATACGTAATTGAAAAGTCATAACCAGTTAAATCAGGTTAATGAAACCGAAATAACCGGTTTAAATCGGTTCAAGCGAAAGAGAGTTTAACCGGACCTTTCTACCTAAAGCCTCTTTGTCATTTAGCGGGTTTTCGTATAAATTTGAATGTATTGAAATTAGCTATTTTGCCGCTTTGCACGAAGAAACAGTGAACGCTTTCAATGGCGTCGTCATCGTCACGATCGCTGGTTTCTTCCTATACCTTTGATGATAAAGACCTAGAAGACGCTGATTTATGGGCGGTGATTGATTCCGCCGCCGCTGCAGCTACTATCGCCGGGAAATCTCCGAAACCCTTAGCTATTAGGTATCCAAATTACAATTCTCCTCCGACGCCTGTTTCGTATCCTTCTCCACAGTCGAAGGTTCTTCAGATCCAGAATCGTAACCCTAATCTTGCCCGAGGATTGAATGAGGAGTCTACGCGTCCGAACAAAATGGCTAGATCTCGCGTCTTGTCTGAGGTGAAGAGTGAGAGTCCGATGGCTCTTGTTACGACGGCGCACCGAAATTTAACCCCGAATATCATCAATTCGACTAAGTTTTCTTCTCCGGAGAGTTACTTGTCGCCTGGAATTCGGCAGTCTACTCCCTTTGCGGAGGTTTCTCCGTCAGCGAGCTGTGTTAAGAACGATCCGGTTAATGAGATGCGACATAGCTTGTCTGGGAGCTTTCCTTCTGCTACTCTGTTCAAGGAGTACCAGAATACAGCAATGGCGGTATCATTTCGATTTTCCTTTATCCATATAAATTTTCGATTTGTGGAACCTATGAAGAAACATGAAGCTTCTTAGATTACAGATCGTAAAATTTATCCTAGATTTTGTTGATTTCGGGATAGAGTTTTATGCATTGAAGGTGTTCGATGAAATGTCAAGCACTGTTTTGCATGATTTTAGTTCGATTGCGACTTGTTCGTAACTTAGTTTCTTCATAAGTATGCCTATATCTACTGCTCAAGAGAAAAAATCAAAGAACCCAAGCTAGATCACTAGTGTGTATGTGTATGTGCGTGAAAGAGAGTTTTTGTTTGCTGTTTTTGATTACACAAGCACTATCATATTTGTGATCTTTTACATCAAATGTTATGTTTGGGAAGTAACAACATTGCTTCATCAATTTTGCAGATTCTAGAAAAATCTGACTACACGATGATCTCAGGGAAGGCATACATTAAAAAGTCAGGTGAAGATTATGCTTGTTGTCCGCTTATTGTATATCTTATACATTCGAAATTGGTTCTGATGCTGCATTTTATGGAAATGTGAAGGT